GTTTGGTGAATGGTAAAATGAATAGTGTGTATGTTGAAGCACCAAGAAAGTAGTAGGTTTTGGGAAGTCTCATAGGACTAGTAAACGTTTGATGGAGGAGTGGGTGAATTTTTAGTAAGGGCCGAGAATGTAGCTCAGTGGCACAGTGCTTGCTTTGCAGGCTCAAGGACCTGGGTTTGATCCGTAGCGTGTGCGCACGTGCACACACAGACACAGATACAGACACACACACACACACACACACACACACACACACACACACTCTGCCTAAAAGCCTTGTGAACTGGCCATGAAACTAGCTGAGCACATACAGGTGTGCTGTGGTAGGTAAAGCCCTCAGGTATCTGTTTTAGTTGTACTCTGCTGCTCATTGACCTGGCTCCCCCGACTTCCTCTCACTGTGAGGTCAGTACTGGTCCCAGCATCTCTGAAGTTCTAGTTTGCAGGATGTCACAACAAAGCAGATTTATCCACTCAACTCTGCCAGCTCTGCCTCTGACATTTTGCCTGTGTCCCCCAGGAATTCTGGGCCTGACCCTTCTTTTCTAATTTGCCAGAACATGTTCTCAGGTTGCTGTAGGATTCTGTAAGCATGAATGCTGGGGCTTGAATTCTCTCTTGCCAGTAGCACTGGGAAATAGCAAGTTATATTTAGAATACTAAGCATTTGTTTTCTTCTCTTAAGCTTCTCTATGTTTCTGAGAACCTAGTTAAGTCTTCAGTTTCTGTGTTTCTTTCTCTTTTTTTTTGTGGAGCTGGGGATTGAACTCAGGCCCTTGTGCTTGCCAGGCAAGCGCTTATTCTACTGAGTCATCTCCCCAGCCCCCACAGTTTCTGTGTTTCATAACCACATGATACACTTTAAAATTAGGGGTCAGAATGTATTTTTCTTTTTTCTTTTCCACTACCACTACTCTTTTTCCTTTCTTCTGCCTACTGTTTTTATTTTCTTCTATTTGGGTGAGGGGCTGCTAATTTCTTTCTTTCTTTCTTTCTTTTTTTTTTTTGTGGAACCGGGGATTGAACTCAGCCCCTGGCGCTTGCCAGGGAAATGCTTATTCCACTGAGCCATCTCCCTGGCCCCAGGGCTGCTAATTTCATTTGGTCTTTCTTCCCTCTTGTTTTTGGTGGAACTGGGGATTTAACTCAGGCCCTTGTGCTTGCCAGGCAAGTGCTTATTCTACTGAGCCATCTCCCTGGCCCTCTTTCTTCCCTCTTAACCTGTACTGTGGATTTCCCTTGTTTTCAACCTAGACTTTGACTTTAAAAATGTTTTAAAAGATAATGATG